CGCTCGCGCGCACAGAGAATTACTTTAACACAAGTATTTATGAATCATAAAATCACTGAACATCATCCATGGACAGCGAACAATCAAAAACTACTCATCGATGGTTTTAGCTTCGATTCGTCTGGCTGGTTTTCTAAAAACATTTCAACAGAATAAACCTAGTTCTGCAAAAGTTTAATTCATACTAGAATACGTTATAATAGATATCGTTCATCGTCTTCCATAGCATATAGACTTGAATTATGATATCCTAGATTGGGCACTTTTATGACCGCTCATCTTTGCTCTCTAAAACTCTAAATAAAAAGATTTCGCTAAACTGATGTGCACCTTGGGCATGCAAATGAAGGGCAAAGCACCAGTTTCGCCTAAGTCGAGTACGTGCGCAACCTTTCCCTCAGTGCCCCACATTTGGTTCCAAATAGAGTAAAATGGCGTGCCCCATGATGAACCAGTCGAATTACGCCAGATATTTTGGGAAATTGTAATACATGTACAAGTCTATGATTTCTTCCACCTGCTCAGATGGATGATAACACCATCGTTACACAGACACAAACTCAGTATGACATAGATTTTGTCCAGCCAGAAATTGACAATATGCCTATGTCACAGATCTTTCTATTTAAGAAACTGTCCATATTTTTATAGATCTTGTTATTCCACAAACTGTCCGTATTTTTACAGATCTTGCCAAGCCAGAAATTATCAGTAGGCCTACGTGTATTTCACAGATTTTATCAAGCCAGAAACTGTCTGCATTTCACATGACAGATCTTACCAGTCCAGACACTACCAGTATTTCATATATCTTGCCAGATCAGAAAATGTCACACAGATCCTGAAACTGTCATTTTTTTTCACAGATCTTGTTCTTCCTGAAACTGTCAGTTTTTTCCACAGATATTGTTATTCCTGAAACCGTCAGTTTTTCCACAGATTTTGCCAAGCCATAAACTGTCAGTGTTTCAAAGATCTCGCTACTCCAGAAACTCTCAGTATGCCAAGGTATACATGTATCTAATTTTTAAAGATTTGATACTGCCAAGCCGGAATCTGTCAGTATTTCAAAGATTTTGCCGGAGATTTCCGAAGATCGCTTTGTACATTTGTGTTCATGGCTGTGTTAAAAGGGGGATTCGTGGCGCGAAGGTCAAGGGTGTCTCTGAAATTAAGACAACATTATTTCGTGAACTTCGCTGAAAGATGCTACGCTCAGTGTAGGCTATGACGCGAGTTATTGCAGGCGTCAGTATGTGAGAACGTGTCTTCGTGTGTTGCCCCGACTGCGTACGTGTGTGCGCGCGTGAGTACGTGTGTTTGTGTGTGCGTGTGTGTGTGTGTGTGCGTGTATGTGTGTGTGTGTGTGTGTGTGCGTGCGTGTGTGTGTGCGT